GGGGGTAACGCATTACAAGTAACGCAAGTTACGTAATCAGATACTTTTTTTCAAGTAACTAGTAAAGTAACGCATTACATTTTAATTTACAAGAGAATATCTGAGTTACTTTTTCAAATAAGTAACTCAAGAGTCCTGGCTTAAGCTAAGCCCCGTTTGTGAAACCGGGCCATAGTTTTTTTGTTTTTTAAACCAAATTAACAATCAGAAAAACTGCTCAGTAGACACTGGCAGCTATAGGGCCTCCATAAACATTTCTGTTTTTATAGTCTGAAACTGCTGGAATGTTTTTGTCATGGTACATTGAATGTTTCTACAATATCTGCATGAATCAGTGGTTTTTCCACTATATTATCCTTCATAAGACTCTGACACTTGCTATGTTTGAGTGTGGAGTTTTTTAGGTTTACCTTTATTTCTGTGCGATTGTTAGTGGTGTGCAAGACTTGAGAGTGGTTTGTGACGTCATCAAGCGGTAGATTGTAGCATTACAGGTAGCTTGGCTATGTAGACATTTTTTAACTGTCTTGATGTGACTAAAGAAATTCTTCTCTTAGAACTCTATAACAATGCTGTGTTCAAAGAAAATTATGTTTGATGTGTGATATCCTGACTAAATGCATCTTATCTATTGAAATGTTGGAGTGCCCCTTTAAATTCTTAAACTTTACAATTAGAATGTTCCATCTGCAGCATTTATCTCTTTTGTGGATGTAACTTCACATCTTGTAACTGTTTGTGCTTGAAATAAAGAATTTTTTGACCTCTTGACATCTGAGGGTGTTTATTTATTTCTCTTGTACATTGAACTCCAAAGTACTCTGCTTTGTTTCCTAATTATATTTGGATTGGAGTTTTATTTTGGAGTTTTTTTTACACATTGCAATAATAGTTCATTTTTGTATAGAATTAGTGTTATTTTTGTATTATTTGTATACTATTATATCTTTTAATATTTTGAATTTTATTCTATTTTTATATTTAGTTTTTACTTTCATTTGACTTGTGTTCATTTTTTTATGTCTAAATGGTATTAATGAATTTATTAATTCTATTAAATTAGCTTAAATAAAAGTTTTTCTATATTTTATTTTATTTCAGTTCATTTAGTTTCATGTAACGAAAAATTAACGAGAATATCCTTGGAATGAATTGCATAAAAAGTAAAGATAGAGTCAAGAAATAGCTAGTCTAGTCACCAGAGGGCGCTAAACAATAACTTTTCCTTTCTATCACTGGAGAGTGTTGCCAAGTCCGCGGTTTCCCCGCGGAATTGGGCTACTTTAACACTGTTGCCGCGGGTTGAAGCGACCCTAAAAACATGATATTTAGCCCCTGAAATGCAAATTTTACTGCGGAACCCCACCAAAAAACGTGTTTTTTACTCCCCTGAACACTATATTCACTGGGGGACCTCCCTCGAAACACGATTGGGCTAGTTTTGAGTAGCAATTGGGCGGGTTTTGTTGTGAAAACCTGGCAACCCTGCACGGGACAGCGATTAAACTTCCCCTCCATCTGCACAATGAAGTCATTATATCTGAAAGGGCTTGACTACCATTTTGATTCATTCATATCATAAAATGGAGTAAATGAAAGTATTTTCCTCTAAATGCCACTTAGGATAATCCTGAAAGTTAATTTCAAAATGCAAACAAAGGCAATGACCTTGCATAATTTTTTGTTATTATTTAGTTATTTAGGCAATGTGCATAGGCCTACTGTAGTTACGTCGGAATTCAAAAACGTAATTTGTTAAATATAATATCACCAGAGGTCTATAAAATAAAACGTATATGAGTGCCCTGAAAGACACAGTTTGTTTGCACCATTTACAAAGATGAGATGCAGTAACAGATAACCATGACATAATCAGAGATCAAATCAAATAGGATCTTCAGCTCAAATTTGGCAGAACCTCTTCAAAAAATCAGCCCACACCCATCAGCGAGGTGCTAAACACCACCAGTGCCTGCTGTCCCACAGCACCTACAAAGACTTTAAGAACAGACATCACCCCAGAATAATGACGTTTCCCCCTTCACTGGTTTGCTAGCTCTCTCTCTCTCTCTCTCTCTCCGGATGATCCCACGGCCCTGCTGTGCTGTACAGTGCAGTGGGAGAGCAGAGGCAGTAATGCAAAGGCATTGATTATGGCTGATAATTCAGAGCTTTGATGTGGATAATGCAGCCCATCTCTTCCTGCACTGGCCGTGCACTCCCAGCCCCTGGGGCCACAGAGGATATTGGGTTTACAGACACTGCTCAGTCTCTCTCTCTCTCTATATCACTCAGTCCATCTCTCATGCGCACTTTTATGTGCTTTTGACTTTGGCAAGATGCAGTATTTTATTATACAGCTTTGCATTATTATACTGTATTTTATTAACCATTAAGCTGATTATTTAAAGGGGTCATATGATGCGATTTAAATTTTTCCTTTCTCTTTGGAGTGTTACAAACTCTTGGTGCATAAAGAAGATCTGTAAAGTTGCAAAGACTAAAGTCTCAAATCCAAAGAGATATTCTTTATAAAAGTTAAGAGTCAACCACGCCTCATGGGCTGTTTTTCCCATTTCCCGGAGACACTGATTCATGTGAATAGACGCAGACTCGTTTAACAAAAGAAAGGAACTAACTTATTTTTCATTATTTTTTGAGCTGTAGTTGACTTAGACCTGGTGAATGCTCAGTTGGTGCTGTTTTTGCATAAACAGACACATCATGCAAAATATGTTTATTTTGTATTTTTGATGTAAATAACACATCATTGTGCATCTTACATGTCCTTTTGTCCCTGTGAATTTAAACATACACTTTTCACACTCTCGCTTTTTTTTTATCTGCTAACGTCCAACACGCAACACTGTTGAGCAAAGCTTGTCACATCAAACAAAAGGTGCTTCAGCTAAGTACTGAGTTAATGAATACTTATGCAATGTACTTACAGTTTTTCTCAGTCGCTTTGGTGCATTTCTCGAATCGTCCTTAATATTTACAGAGAAGTATGTGCATTTCTCAAAACAATTCGTACAAACAGCACCACACAATGGATTACCTGCAAAAGCCTGTAACTTACTCAAAATCTTTAGTTCGTCTCTCAAAAGTAAGTATTTATGTCAATGAACATATCAGTGCCATCAGAATGAAAAGTCCTTGTGTCATTGTTCACAAACAAGATCAAAATGCTTAGTCATGTTGTCAATATAACAGTGCACTCTGTTAGTATTACATGCTGTAAAATGGCAACAGTTTGGATGACAGTTACTGCATTGAAATGCAGAAGGCTACACTTCGTATGCCATATATCCATTTCAAAAGTACAAATTTACACATTACTGTATGTCGGATATTGATTGAAAAAGACTGGATATGATTCACCGTTACACTTTTACTAGTGGTCTGACAAAAAAACTAAAAAAACATTACAACGTCACTGTGATATAGAAAAGAAAAAAAAAATGAAAACACCCCTTAGGCAGAACTTTGCTTTTGCATGCAGCACTGTATGAGGAATTTCAGAGAACTGGTTTATCATTGGTTGATCTACATTCTATTCATTAGTGAAAGTCAAGATTCACCTGCACAATTCATGGCAAATTTACAAAAAGACTAATAGAAATGTGTCGAGAATATGCTTGACATTTTTTTAACAACTAGATCAACCATTTTGCATTTAATAACTTACGATGAACTAATGACTGGATGTTTTGAGGGGTAAGACTATTGCACAGAGAACTATTTAATACATATTGAGCAACATGACATTAGCAACTGATAATGTAGGAAATCGCAGACAAATGTACAAAATCAATTGCATGAATTTACCAAAGCAATCGCAACTTGTTCAAAAGAATGAGAAACTGCTATTATGATGTGCACAAGTGCCTAGATGATACGGAGGTTGAACAAGTAGTTTTGAGAATTTCATTTCTGATCAGAGAAATGCACCAAAGCGACTGTGAAAAAACTGTATTTCAGCTTTTTTTTATATATATATATTTACGAAGTTGTGACAATTCTGTTTATGCTTTGTCAATGTGGTGTATGGCGAGTAGATTGATGTGGGGAAAAGGTCATTTAAAGCAGTTATAAGGCAGCAACATAACAAAACATGAAAAAAATGAAGGGGTATGAATACTTTCGCAAGGCACGATAGATAGATAGATAGATAGGTAGGTAGGTAGGTAGGTAGGTAGATAGATAGATTTTTGGGGTGAACTAAGGACATCTTGAAACTGCTCAACAGAGACTGTAGCAAAAGTTTTTGTGGATGCTATTAGGCCCTGTCCACTCTACACTCAGCAGTGCAAGAGACTGATTCAGACAGAAGTGCTTCCGCCCCAGGTTCATATTTCCTCACTTCTTGCTGCACTTCAATAATTAATATTCATAATCGCATATCATGTCAGCAGAACACCCTCAGCTTCCTCTGCAGAATGACTGATCCCATCACCAACATCATTTTCCATTGTCACATCAGCATATATTAATAGCTTTATTCTACACTGAATGCAGCTGGAGTTGGCAACCACTGGCCAGCCTCCTGTCACACGGTGTCAGTGGGTGGTCACTTAATGCAATTATCAGTGAAAAAGTTGAAGGAGCAAACTTTTTGCAATATTCTATGTTTTTGGCTGGTCCTATTGCTGTAAATGAATTCACCACTCTGGATTTGGTCCAATAAATATATGTATGTGCTTTTTTTATACCGGCTATCAACAAGGAAAAATGTTGCAATATTAATTACATTAAACTACATTGTTTATTTATTATAACTATATCACATGAAAGTCTCATAAACTTTTATGTGTTTTTTTTTTATTTTTATTTTTTTACATTGCTTCAAATATAATAACTTAATACTCCAGGAAATATAAGTGCGCTTTTTTTTTTACACACAAAATAAGTCATTTTGAATAATGTTCATGCTGTTGACAGTTATCATATGTGGATGTTCAAAACATGATGCTAGGTTTGATGTCAGTGATGCCAAATGCTGGGGGTTTTCACATGTCGTTTAATCAACTGCAAGACTATTAAATATTTGGATATCATAATCAGTACCGCCGCTCCCTATACTCAGAGTAGCCTACGCAGTTTGCGTAGGGCACCAACCCATTTGCTCAAAAAAAAAAAAAAAACTTTCGTTCTATATTAATATTAACATATACATATGCATAAATAAAAATCAAAACATTCAAATATATATATAAAATTAACATATAATTATAAAAAATGCATTTTATGATGAACACAGTAGGCAGTATAAGCACACGTGACGCGCCATTCTGGATCTGCGCCCGCGCTCGCTCTCACTTCATGTTTGCAGCTGAATACAAATGATCATCATAATTAATGGACAACTAGGCTATATCAGGGAAAAGACA